AATAAATCATGTTCATAATGTACATTTTTTGCTTTTTATTCATCTTTTCTAACAGAGTTTTCCCTCCGTAGAGTAATCATTGACTTCCTTAAGGAGACCTTTTTTTTGACATATTTTCTTCAATATCTGTTCTTATTAATGGAAACCAAATAAAAGTAATAGGTCCTCTACTTAAATAATTTCATACTTATAATAAAGTAAATTTTAAAAAAATTCTCCAATTATAACCATTTTTATGCTAAAAAAATTGCAATCGCTGTGACAAAATTATGAGACTTGCTGGTCTAGTTTAAATTCTGTTACAATATGATAATTTGTTGGCCTCTTTACTGAGTTATGTTGTGGACCGAATTTAATTTAACCCTTAGGTTGGTATTGTATCATTAAAGATACAATGCTTGTCCCAAACTTTTCCAAATTGAGTGGAATTAATTGCTGTACAGTGTTTTACAGCTTTTTTAATATTTGTTTTGTTATAACTCGACTGCCTAATAGATCATTTTATTACACAACATAATATAAAATCCTAATGGTTGGTAGTCGTCAAAAATATATAGTCACACAACTATGTAAGGAAATATACACAATGGAGGTCCTCCCCATTACCGTTAGGGATGTTATAGGACTGCTGTCGCTGGAAGAGCTATAAAAGTACAATACAAGCGCCCATTTGTCCTCACGTTTTATCTTGCCCAGGACTGTCGACCTTTTTTCTTTGTTCTAGATAATGGCATCACATAATATTGTAGTACCAGTGCGTGTGCACTGTGCTTAAATTATTGTCTCAACACCATGTCTTTGCGGTAATCGTCAGACGGTCATTTTAAAACCAGCGATAAGATTCGTGTACACGCACTTAAGGGGACATAAAAAATCATCGAAGTGTTTGAAGTATGCTAATGTTGAGTTTTCCGGTGTATTTAAGTGTACAAATTGTAATGCATCAATAGTGTCGGCGATAAATAAATCATTGACGGAGTAAATATTGTACATTTGTCGTTAGTTTTCTAGAAAACGCCTGTGTTCCATTAGGAGATCCAACGTTAGAATAGGAGAAGAAATGGGTAAAGGACGTGGAAAATAATTGTTACTAAATTTTGTAATTTTATTTTGGGTATGAAAATTGAAATCAATAAAAGAGTTTGTACTTTATTTTAGACCAGCATATAGACTAATATTATTGAAGAAAACATGTCCAATGACAATGTACATTAAATATTATATAGCATATGATTTTTAACTGGGGTGTCTTCCGCCAAAATGACCCTCGACCGTTATCACCATAGCCGTTTTCCGCCAAAGGTTATATTCCGATTTCCACCAAAATAAATAAAAATTTGTTACCTAATATTTTTTAAGAACCCCTAAACTAAATCTATAATTTCATTTACTACTTTTCGATTACATGCTGAATTAATAATTTATCTATCTATGATACGTCTGTTGACAGCACTTTGGTCTATGTTCTGCTATAAGATTACCCTGTATTCTGACGAGTTCATAATTTTTTTTTTTTGTGAACATTTTTGGATAGTTTTTCTATATGGAGTATAGAGCAATAATTATAACATAATACATAATAATTTTAGCTTTTAACTGTTAAAACAAAATATTTAGTGCAATTGGCAGTTACACGCCGCAGACCGCAGTACAACATACATTTTAGATAAAGTATTCTAACGGTTATATAATACACAACACTTATTACAAGCACACCACTGAACTGGATAAAACATAAAGATCTATTACGTATAATTCAATCAACTCTTACTTGCATACGAATCTGAATAATAAGTCAAAGTGTAATGCTTAATAGTCATTAGATTTACATTTTATCTATAAACTATATAGCTGTTTTTTAACGTAGCTGTGAATTTTTTATTATCAATATAATAAACTAGATTGCTAACTAATAATAAACAGTGATACTACTGAATTGGCTATTTTTGTTTGAGATATCCCGATATGAGTTTATCATTGATATAATTTACCTACACATTATAAATTAGTTAAATATTATTATTTCACTAAAACAACAAATTATTTTCATTAATTTGGGCTAGCTAATATAAGATGTCAGTTATCAATTTAGTGACAATAACTATAGTATAACTTAAATTATTATAATGACGATAGTCCATAATAATTATTATGATCTCAAAATTCAGCTATCAAATGAAATTACTCGCCGCTGATGATTTATCCACGAGTAAACAAAATTATTTTGAAAAATGAATTTAATTTATGAGTGAAAATTGCGTTGATCATTTTCGTTATGAATTCTGGCGATGCTCAAATCTCTACCACGTGGTGTTGGTATTTTTTTCCAAGTTTTCGCACGGTACAAAGTTATCATCATATGTGGTTTTTTTTTCAATTTAGTCACGTTAATATTGATATTATGTAACGGCTATTACTTTGTGTATAACCGCCGACGAACGCTGACAATAGAACGTGTTGGCCGGTCAGTTCTGTCACGAGCTTCCCATCACGCATCGCCGGTATTGTTGTGTTATTAAATAATAATATTGTAATGTAAACAAATTTGCATCAAAGGAGGCGGTCGTGATGTCCGCATTATAATAGTACGTAATAGCGTGAACTGTCTGTCGTTTTGTAGAATTAAAAGAACAAAAAACCAATACATGCTTGTACACGTGGAATTCGTTCTTTTAATAATTATTACAATGCGCTTTGTGTACCACAAGCACACACACACACACACACTGACACACACATGATCATTACCCTGGACCAAGTCCAAAAGTGTCGTTCGTCAAAAAAAAATTCAGCTTTTGTCTTCTTTAATTGAGATCTAATGTGAGAAATTCGCCAACAATTATGTGTAATTTAATATATACATACAATTCATATATTAAACACTGTACAGGGTGATTCATTAAGGATTAGATACTTATTGGTCTCCTAAAATTTGCAATTTTGTAGTCTTTCTTTTTGAAAACATTTTTGTTACTGTTATTTTACAATATTATAAATAATTAATTAATTACCTTCTTTAGTATTTTCTAGCGCTCTACCAACTTTAGACACTTAAATGGTAACGTATCCATTCAATTAACTTTATAAATAAAGAATAATTTGCTGAAAATTTCGACTGGTCGATAACTAGTTTTGGGTACTTACTTTTAAAGTTATTCAAGTTTGAAGTTTAGGTCAAAATAAGGAGAACGCAGATAAATCTAATACTACACTCTCCCTTGTTCCCGTCCTAAATTTTAAACTTTAAAAGTAATTATTTAAAACTGGTTATCGACCAGTCAACATTTTTTCTAATTTAAAAAGTTAAGTAAATACACTATACGTCCCCATCCCATTTATGTTTCCAAAGTTATAGTGTTTTGCAATAAAGAAATGATAAAAATGTCAATATTATCTAGTACCATAAATTAAAGTATCTCCAACAAGAAAACCACAAAATTGTAATTATTTTTAGATAAAATGAGTGTCTTGTTCTTAATGAATCACCCTGTATTTTAATAACATACCGAATGCAGTGTGCGATTATGTAAGGACAGTTTTGTATTTGAGAGTGATGTTAATGGCCTGTGGTCGTTTTCTTCGGCCTTGACAATGAATACAAGTGTACGCCGTCGTGCTATGCATAAATCATTGCAAAATTCGGACGACCTTTAAACCGAGGCTGATCAGGAAGTCACGACGAGAATCCATTGTGGATCCATTTTTTTAAATTTTATTATATATTTGACTTATCAACACACGCTTATATGTGGGACGCGCACGTAGCTAATATGTTTGTTTGTTTTTTATTTATTTATTTTGAATACACGATCGGGAGCAGAGCGGTATCGCTTTGTGCTAGACCTGACTCGACCGTACCGACACGATCACCGCCCACCGACAGTTAGAGTAAAATGTTAATTGTTTTACCAACGCTCTTCAATCGAGTACTTACTAAAGTCGCTAAGCGTTTCATATGAAGGGGGGGGGGGGGTGCAACCACCACGATTACACAAAAATAATATATACAGAGACCAGAGGCCTGGCATTTGTGTACTTATAATATTATAGCGTAATAGAAATAAAAAGTGTTAAACACAATCGGCGGCCAGCTCTTTTTAACGACAGTGCACGTTAAAACGCGGTAGCCGGCGTGACCGCTACACACTTTTATCGGTCTGTCTGCGGTCTCAGTGTCAAGAGTTGATGTGTATCAGAGATTCGTAAAAAACAAACGCCGAGATAAACGTTTCGAATTTAAGACCATTACTATTTACAAATCTAATGGCGTCCGGTGCCCATATTGTCTATAATATATATTAAAGTAACATTATTATTTCGAAATAAGATTGCTTTGGTGGTTATAGAAATAAATAATATTAACTAAAACTATATACTCGCGTATATAGAAATTAAAAAAAGGAGAGACTAATTTTATCAAATTAGGGGGAGGGGTTAAATGACATTAGACCCTCCTCATAGATCCAAGTCTGTAAGAATATACTAAGTTGTGTACTCATTAAAACGTGTATTTGAAGTCTAGTCTTTAAAGTACACATCATCCACATATAGAATGGAAATAGGATAACTCGTGTAATTGCTTTGGTTCGTTTACTCTCTGCATCAACCGTGCTAGCCGAATCACATTTGCTGACAGCCCTTAGTTTACATGGTGTATACATTTAGAACGAAATTGTATTTATTTTAATATAATGCTCTAACCGCTCCGAAATTATGGTTTTGTGATTCTGCTTACGCGACTAGTCAAATTTATTTCATTAAAATATGTATTTAATTAAATCTTATTTTCACGATTCCGAATTTTGACAACGTGATAACCTATTTTGCCTAAGTAATTCGATATATTACTTTTTGAAATAAGAAAAACAACATATAACGATCTATTCAAAAACAATCTATGTATACTATTATTACTGAACTGCAAAATGCATAAAATATGTATTTATGTGTATATAAATAGTAGGTATAACAATTTGTGTGTCTTATTTGTGTTTTTACAGACGAATCTCGAACGATATCAATGGTCCCCGAACCGATTAGAAAAAAATCATCTTTTAACGATTTCCACGATAGTAGTAGATTTGATAAGGAGTTTGTCAAGCCTATAAAATCAATTCCAGAGTCGCTGCACGCTCACGATATTCTATACGGCGGTCATCAAGGTATGTGTGATTTCGTGCATGGAATAATATAAAAGTGTTCGATGCAAATTATTAATAATTACAATGACATAATGATTGTGGTTGTAGTCGATCAAGAAAAGCTAATCAAACACCATTCGGGTCAATTTCGGAACAAAACGGCTTCCGTCTGGGACCCTCATCCCGAATATGAATTCACGGCTTTCGGACATCGTTTTCATCTAAAACTCATTCACGATTCGAAATTCGTCTTGCCCGATCTCAAAGTAAGCTGTTGTTAAAATATTATTGAACGGGGTGTGTGTTTAGAGGAGACAAATAAAAAATAAAAATTCCAAACGATAAGTGCTTACACTGCACAGTTTTATTTGGTTACTTATTGAGAAATAAAACAATAGTAATACTAACAAATGTTACGAATATATGTTTGATAGTAAATCAAATAGAACTGGTATATAATTATTTAGGGTTCAGGCTGATGACATACTGATCCAGAAACAAAATATGGCCAAAGCATGCGGTCTGTTTTTAAGGAGTATTGTATAGGCAATATTTGTGAAAAAAGTGGTTCAATAAATTTCGACCGTGTCAATTAGTTTACCAGTTAATATTTAATTTGTACAAGCTTCAAGGTATTATTTTTTATTTAATTATTTTTTTCTGTGAAAAAAACCATTTTTGTTTATTTTAGACCAAAACGACCGACAAAATTTCGACTACATATGATGGTCAAATTTCAGTTCTTTAATGAGATTCGAGTTCTTTGACTACTTTACTATGATAAGTAGGAAGCCGATTTTCATTTAAAAATTTCAGTTTCTTGTAATCAAATAAATTAAATTTGCAATTCTTTAATACTAAAACCAAATTTACATAACAAAAAAAGGAAAAAATCAAAAATCTGTTTTTTACATAACCTAGCAAAAGAGCCAATGAACTCTTATATCTTTACAGAGTTGAATACGGACCATCCTAAGTAGTCGAAATTTTGTCTAGCTTTTTGGTCTAAAACGTCAAAAAACAAACCGCATACATATTAATTAATATGTGTTTTATATTTATCATAAAATATAAATTGATTACCGCAATATTTTAGTAATCTTCTTAAGTCTCATTTAAATCAAAGTGAAATTAAGCTTATATTATTCAATAGCTTCTAATTCTAATTATATTTCTAAATTTTCTAATAAAATTGTTTTACAAACAATGGAATGTTTTAGTGGCAGAAATCTATTGCCACGCCCCTGGTAAATAATTTGCAGCATTATCACTGCATAAGCATAGCATCTACGATGGTAATGTTTTTGTAAATTATGAAATAAATTAATGCAAATGACATTATAGTGTATTCATTATACAACAACATACCTATTATAATCTTTAATTTTATACAACCCTGTAGTGTTTATACATTTTGTTTGCGTATAAAATAAATAAATGAGGAAGATTTAGTTTAGCCTGGTTTAATTTGGAATTAATAAAGCCTTCACTATTTATTTACGATAAATATCATATTATTATGCATAAATGAAAAACATATTCATATTTTATTTATTCACGAAGTAGTAATCCAGTTTATTATATATGAACACTAAATATATGAATTATTTATAATCGCTATACTTTCAAGTAAAACGCACGCATACACGTATACATCAGTAAAATAAAGCACAAAAGAACACGTTACCTAAGAAAATTATTTATTTAATTTAATATAAACGTATTAGGATTATATTTGCATACATTTATATTACCGGTTTAAACAGGAAATTAAATCTTTTATTAACTTTTTTAATTCGCTACGGTCTGTTATATAACCATTTAATTATCACTAATAACATTAGATTTGTTTGTACTTACAAAGAATTGTTTTTAAAATATTATTACACGGTTCTAAAATCTTACATGTTATTATATAACACTTATTTTGGTCTTAGAAACTCAAATAATTGTAGTGTTTTAAAGATAATTATAAAAATACTTGAATCTAATGAGTATTATTAAATCATATACTATAAAGTACCCGCCATACGTTAAAATGAAAATGGTTTGTGTTTTTTTCGTCAATTCCCGAAACTTCTAAGTACAATGCGAACAGGATTATTATTAACGGCAATCCTACCTACTATAGAATACTGAATAGTATACGAGTATAATAATAATATATATCAACTGTCAAAGTCTTTATGACACTCAGTATTATTGCATATTTAGAACGTCTTTATACACCGTATTAGAAATACACGTGTGCCATTTCGATGTTACAAGTATCATCGAGTATCAGTTACATATCCGCCTAGCAAAGAATCGACAAACTTATTAAGTATCTGACAGGTCTATGCGTTTATACCTACATACTATGTTCGTTTTGTGTCGAAAGTACTTGAGAAATAGAATAACTAATAATAGTTTTGAGAATGAAATCTTATATATAGAAAAGTCAAATTTATACTATTTGTTTTTTTAATAAAAGTGTTCGATGGAAGGGGATCAGAATACTCCCACGGTACCTCTGCCCATTGTAAGAGGCGACAAATGAGGTTGCGTCAGGTCTACAGCCATTGTGAAATTTCATTAAAAAGTATTAAGAGTTAAAACAAGGCTTAAAAGATGAGAAAATTTAGTATTTGTTGTAATCAGGAAAGTGCAAAGGAGAGAAAGAAAAAAAGGAACAAATATACTTTACCGGGCACCCTTTTTTCCCACTTTTTTTTTTGAATCGATAGGACTTTCCATTGAGATCGTATCAAGTGGAACCCCAAATAGTTGAGCCTTCGAAAGCAAAAAAGTAGTGTAAGACGCAAAAATTCAAAGTTGAGAAACGAAAATGAAATGTTGTATAGGTAAGTTTTTACAAAAACGTAAAAGTTCTCTTGCCATCTAACGGAAAATAAGCAAAGCAGGACACACTACTTTTGCAGACAATACAATAAATAATAATGAAAGTAGAATTAAGACAAATTTGGTGAAATCTCGTTTTCCCAACATTTCTTTTACACGTTGATATATTGTTTAACAGCTTATTCGAATGGAAGATTATTGACGGTATTCACTCTATATGCAATTGCCTTTCTTAATATGTCATCACTCTAAATTAGTATATTATTTACTAGTACTTTTAACCAGTCTTAATTAATGTCCTAAGCCTCAGTACAATTGGGAATTTCACATATTAATTATACAACATAGAGAATTATAAGATATACATTATCTCATAATGTTGATGAACAATATATTGCAGTTCTTGTATATACTACCCGCAGGTCCTAATTAGGATTACTGTAGACCCATCAAGCTATCAACCCATTTTTCATAAATCATTTTAGTTACCCATCAGCTGCATTATCTTGTTATAACCTCATATGCAACTCGGCTGTGGTTCTGGGATCTTGACATCCCCAGACATTTTATTGTTGCCTTCACTCGGTTACCACCGGTCATAACTTGTTACCCTCCCATTGTTATCGACTCTCACTCAATTCTTCCCCTCTTTGTGCCTTGCACCAGTCTGTGATGAATTGTGATTTTTCATATCTCCTTTTTTATTGTTCCTTTCACCCTTCCAGTAGCAGCCTACTTATTCTCCCCTTTGGTTACATTTCCCCTGTTATACAACTATTCCTTAACTCTCGTTCTCCTATCGTCATTTCTTTCTTAATTTATGTCATTCTCAACGCCGGTATTCTCATTTAAATTAATTAATTTGTAAGCACAATAGTTACACATCGTAAATTTATAAAACGCTATAATTTCTAAAGACAAAATGCATTTAATAATAAAACAAAATCTCCTTCTATAATCATAAATTATGTTTTAGCTTCGATGCCAAACTAAGAAGGTATTATTTTTACGGGCGTCACCATTTTTCGCCAAAATAACCTTCGACCGATTCTTCATGACTGGAGCAGGAGAGGTGTAATGATTTTTAGTCATATCATCCGATCATTCTGGAGGCACTCTGTGCCCTTTTTTTAAGTATCTTCCAAGAAAGCCTGCCCTAACCCTTTGTTGTATTGCTTATGCTGCTATTGTGACACTGTAATGCGCGAAACTAGTTATGAATCGATTCTAATTCTATTCACCCATAAGCATTTTCAAAATACGCGCTAAAAAAAAATGTTGATATTTATTTTTTGTTGTAGGAAGTAAAAATTATCATATAATACGTTTTTAGTGAGTAGGCAAAAATACATTTTTTTAAAAGCAAGCGATCTTCCGATTCACATTAATTTTTAATACAATTAAATGTTATTCATTCGATGGTACTTATAAATTCACTCTTTAATCTTGTGTTTTAACACTTCCGACACGTTTCCTAACCTAAATTATCAATTCATGTTTCAAATTGTTTTGGTCAAAGACAATTTAAAAAAATATAACTAAAGTGCTTGCGAATCGGCTTAGAAGTTTTAACTTGTAGTGTCCTGTTAAAAAAATCGAAATTGATCGCTTCAGTAAGAGATGTCTTTTTTCAAGTGTGCGATAAAATAGTTGTGGTCTTGTGGTATTTTATTACAATATCTTGTCCGCGTGGGTGGCGAATCGCAATCACATTAAACGAAAATGTCCATCATTCTTGGTATTTCTGTACTTTGTAAGAGTACTCGTATAATACGGTGTACGTGCATTTATTTTTTTTTTAACGTATTTATGATGGATTTGCCGGCAATGGCGATATTGCCTTGACTATAATATAGTTGTCGGCAGCACATCGTAAATATTAATCCCACAAACCTGATGTAGACGTTATTTAGGTGCATACAGAGATCGTGTTTCATATATGATGATTACAGTATTTAAATACTAACCGTTTCCTCTTAGTTTTTTTTTTTACGCTTAATTAATTAATCATCTAGTGTGCTGTGTGTGTGTGTATTAGTATAACATGTGTGCTGTGCGGTTCAGAAAAATTGGAGAAAAAAAAATAAAGACACCAATCAGTTATAAATAGTTGCATAATATTGTATCAATACATATAAAATATAATAATATGCAATATATTATGGAGTTTATCCTGCGAAATCAATGTCATAAAAATCCCATTACAAGTATGTGTAAACTATAAGGTTTTTTTTTACTATTTTATTGGCAATCGTTAACTAGGTAGTGTTACAATAGTAGTATACACAGTGACAGAATGACCCGAGTCCAGAAAGAAATGACATTTAGGAGTATGGCCGGTACAGCCGATGTGGTTGACCGAGGACATACGGTTTATATTTTTTATAGTTGTTAGATATTTCCTTTTTTTTTTTTTAACATTTTTACTTATACACAACAACACATCGTCGCCACCAACCGTCGCCGTGTTATTGTCCTCGATAGCGATGATCTTCTATTTTATTGCTCATGTAAACCACACAAGATTACACGAATACACACACACACAACATTTATAACATTTACAAAATCTACGTTTTATTTTCAGCTTTATATTATTATGTATCAATGCTGTTCCAGGGAGAGCACCAGGGGCACGTACCCCCCCCCCCACCGTCTGAATATTTTTTCCCCTAATAATAAAAACGCAAACTGTCGACCGATGTTAAATGTACACTATCTCTTAGGCCTTAATAACTAGTGCCCCTTCCCCTCCTCTCCACTCCAAAAAATATATATTTTTAGAAACAGTACTATTATGTTTTATTATCAGTAGAGCCACAGCATACCCTACATTCGCTAAGTCTTCATTAGGTATGTGCACCCTATTTTTGTAATTGGGTTAAGCCTATTTTGTAATGTGCCAAAATAATAACTCTTGGGGACCCGGGTGGAAGTAATGCCTCACTATGCTGGTTCCCCCGGGTTTCTATAGATACATGTGGGAAAAAAAAGATGATAACTCATAGGTAACCTTGAGACCTAAACCTTAAGCACCTTATTATCGTGTTTTAGGAAACATAATATTATATATCTGACTTGAAGAACTTTTTTTACATTGACCATTAAACGTAATGATATGATTAGAATATGGTGTATGATTTGATATGGTTTGTTATCATACTATTCATTGTAGTAGTGTTAGCAGCAGTAGACAGTGATTATTATCCCATATATTTATAAATAACGTTGATGTTGTCAATATGGTAGGGGCTTAAGCCCTGAAAATTAAGACTGAAGGTAGATCTATTATAATATCGATGGTTAGAAGCTAAAAGGGTGTAAGCGACAATTTTTAAAAAATCTACTTTTTTGCATACGGTCGTACGCGGAATAATTATACATCTATTGATCCAACTTAGATATCGATATCATATGTTTATAATCGATAATCGATGTTTTAATACGAGGTCGTACGCGAATGATATAAAAGTCGTATTTTCCTCGTAATTGGCGGGATGTTAGGTTTTTCGGCTCTCCTGAACAATTTGGAAATCGGCGCTTACGCCCGTTTACCTTCTAACCATCGATATAACGTTTTTCAAAATTCTGTAGTCAACCTTTTTTTATAAAGGAAAATCCCACAAAAAAAGGAGGGGGAATTATACTTTGACTGTTGTAAATTTCTAGGTTGCTAAGTGTGAGTGAATCAACCAATTAACGGGTATTTTAAAATGTTTATAATGTATTTGTTCATTAAAATATATTGGTAATCACGGTAACAAATAATTATAGACGATCAACCCTAATCGTACCGTTCTTAATATTGCAGATATAATTTTAAGTAAATTATAGCTTTTATCGATTTATGTATTTTTACCATCTACCGATTAGCATCGAAGTGTTTATTTTGTTTATAGGATATTTGTACAGATGTATGTATCTAAAATAATAAGTTTTAAAATATTTAAATAAGTAATTCAGTATGAAAGGCTCTTTCATATAGAACTACAATTTTGTTTATTCTTAGTTCATACATTTGAAGGAAAAAAAACGTTTTTAATGCATTTGTGCATCAAGCACAAGTCGACATGCGTATACATGACATATTATGTTGGGAGAAAGCCAGTAACTTACATAAATCATTAATTATAGAACGTAATTTAAATATAATGACATGTTATCGTTAATGAATAAGTGTTTTTAATTTAAATCTCTCTCGTCGCAGGTCACTCACATGAAACAAAACACATCTTGGAGGGAATCGCCAAATATAAAGGTGGATGGATGCTTTTACTCAGGGAACGTTTCCGGCGAATCGGGCTCTATTGTGGCAGTCAGCTTATGCGATGGAATGGTAAGTACGATCATATTAATTTTGTTCAGTATTCTACTAAAAATCCATGTGGACATCGTGTAGTTTTGAACCAATAAATATTGTCAGAACTCGAATATTTTATGAAGCTCTATTTAAAACTCGACCATTAATCTTTTATTAATGGTCGAGTTGTATGGTTTATTGTAGGAAATTATTGTCAACAATTATTCTAGATAAATTTAAGTATTAGTATGTTTTAGAGTTTAGACTCTAAAATAACAAAATTAATTTCCTCCTTTTTGGCACACATGCAAATGGTTATATTGATTTGTAGACACTCTATTAATCACCTATTGCGATGCAAGTACAAAATGAAATAAGTAAAATTAAAATTTTTAAAAACTACGGTGCTCAAGCAAGGACTAGAATGTTTTTTTTGAGAGGAGTCCGAAATTCAATCATTTTTCTATTTCTACTCCCCATAAGACATTTTTATCAATTCGATTATCTAAAAACGTTTAGAATTTAAAAACGTTAAGCAATTTAAAAATTCAGATCATAGATACTAGAACAGATCATAGAAGTCATAATTCATAACCAATTAAAATCTAAATTGAAATATTTCTTTAAAGTTTTTAATCTGTAGAGCCTATTTAGATACAGTTGTAGATTTTATATTTATATTTACCTATAAATTCCTAGTAGTTTTTACTAAAATCTAATGTAAAAAAAACACTATATTGCTTTTAGTAACTAATGTGTAGATACTACTCTTCGGATCGTATAATCTTTTCCGTTAGATTAAAAAAGAAATGTAGGTTAACGAATTTTTAAATAAGTATTATTTAAGTGTACAGTATACGATAGTTAAATTAAAAACCCTATTATTTAGTTAATTGTCATTTATAATTGCTTATATTTTACTCTATTATTAGGGTTGCCTAATATTAAAATAAAAATAAATTTAAAATCATAAAATAGGTGGTCTAAAAAGATAATAATAGATTCAAATTTATTTTCAGATAAATACTGAATTAGATAAAAAATTACCAATTGAACCTCTTTACCTCTTTAAAAACAATTAAAAAATATGATCCTGTTCCAATTTTTTTTAAATTTCCATAGGCGGAAAACTTTCAACAGATCTATCATACTAAAAAAAATGCAATCCTTAATAAATAATATTATAACTTTCGCATTACGCATAATGTCGCTGTAAATTATTATAGTCCATAAAAATTACAAAACCATTACAAAGTACTATTTCTTACTGACATATTGAAGTGCTGTGGCCGGAGATGCTATTATTTGTATTATTTAATAGGATTGTGGTTTATACTTTATAAAATATGTATTGTTAATTAAAAATACCTATAATACCTACTTTATGTGTCCGCCGAATGCCGATGACTGAAAACAATATTGTATCTTACCAAAGTTATACCTATTATTAATTAATACGTATTTGACCTTTTTAAGTTTTTTCAATCAAAAATGATTAAAACGATATTTATTACGACAAAAAAATCACTAAATTTGGTAAATTACAATGAATTTCTTTACTAATTTTCCATTTTTTTCTAAAGTCTTGTACTATAGATATCTATTGTCTACCTACTTAATTCATTCTAAAATTTTACAATATCATAATATTGTAAACAGCGCAGCATTTTGGTTTATGCTTTTCTAAAGGCTAAAGCATTTTATCATACGATTAATTTATTTAAAACTATCAGACTATATACTAACTACTGACAGAGAGACAACAACAAAACAAATATTACGGTAGAGAAAGAGACAGAGAGAGTCAACCGTTTATTAAAATAAAAAAGAGATACAATAAATTACAAAGAAATGATTAATGAAAAAACAACAAAAAAACGAGTTGCCTTAGTGTCTAGTGACACAACATAGGTACTGTTCAGTACGTAAACATATAAACATTTTTAAAAAAAATAATAATTCTTAAACAAAATAGTCTTAATAAAAAAAGGTTAATTAAAAAAAGCTAATAAATGGTAATAGATGATACCCAAAGTGCCCTTTAAAACCGAAAGAAAATTTTAATTAAATACTGATCATTTTGATGATAATACTTTTAAGTTTTAATTGAGTACAAATTATGATATAATATGGTAATGTAATAATTGATTACAAAATTTTAAAAAAACTTGATAGTTTAAATAACTCTTTTTTAACATTTCCGAGCACGAGACGAGGTGGCCGAGTGGTTAAGGCGTTGGACTGCTAATCCAATGTGCTCTGCACGCGTGGGTTCGAATCCCATCCTCGTCGATATCGTGTGAATTTTTTGTTTTTTTAACACTTTAATTTACTATTTACTTTATAAACTATTCGCATTACTAACTAATTTTGTAATTATTATTAATATGGCCGATTTTTTGAAAACAGTTATGCTACATAAATTAATATTTTAGTTTTAAAACGAAATATCTATGCGGGTTTTCATTCCAGGAATACTATTTTATACCGTTCAAAAAGGAATAATTTAACAAAATATTATTTTTACAATTTTTCCAAGTTCGAAATCAATTAAGCTATTAGAATATTTTTCTATTGAGTACTGTTTTTTATCATTTAATCAACATTAATAACTGTTGTAGTTTAAACAAATAATGTAGCCGTTTTTAACCCCCCATTTTTACCGTTAATATAATATTTTCAATTATGAAACTAATTTATTATTGTTAAAACATACTTAGTTCAAAATAATAAAAAAACAAATTTTACTCTCATTATAAAGTTATGAATAATTATGATCATTATAATTTTTATCATTCATTGAAATACGTATAAATGGGTAATTAAATAATGCACGATCCCATTTTTGTAATCGCTAGTTCAAGAAACTAATTGTACATTTTTCTCTGTAGCGTTGTAATATAATAATAGCGTTTGTTACGTACTATATGTCTTAAACATCAATAAGATCAATTCGAATATTTTACAGGAAACATTCATATGATGGCTGATTCTTTGTATTGACATTTTTGATGATAATTTTATACAAAATTAACTAAGTACCTTTTTAATTTTATTCAAGAATAGTGTTACAAAATGTTTTGTTTCCAAACTTGGTACATAGATGGATAATTTAAATACTTACGAGTAGGTCTATTTAAGTAATTATAAAATAAAGAACTTTGTCATTTGCTTAAACCTAGTAGTTGTTATCCTTGTAAAATAATTTTTTAAATAATAATAAGTTATTTTTTTTACAACTGGTACACTATTAGGTATTGACAGCTGACATTTCGAAAATTTAAAAAAAAGTAACAACTATTTTCATAAATATTTTTTGAATAAATAAATATTTAATGTCAAATGATCTTTTAATAGGTTTTGCAGTTTTTATTAATTAAGATAAGTATAATATTCAGGCATTCAGCCCATAAAAGCCAACATATTCGATTGTGACGTACATGGTGACGAGGTGGCCGAGTGGTTAAGGCGTTGGACTGCTAATCCAATGTGCTCTGCACGCGTGGGTTCGAATCCCATCTTCGTCGTATACCGCCTTTAAATTTTTGCATTTTTTTATTACTTTTTTTTTCGAGTCTTATTGTATTGTTGAACGTTTTAACAAATCAAAATACAACAGCCGCCAAGTACTTAACTGCACGTGGCCACATTAATGTTTATTTGGCAACATTTCAATCAACTATCGTAGCAGCTGCATTTATACATGTACCATCAAACGTTTTTTTTATTTCTAGTTTTAGAAAGTCAGAATTTATTTTCATTGCATAATAATTGAATATGCATTTTTTTATTCTCAATGTTGTTTTTTGTTTTACTATATTAAACAAGCTTATAATTTTTATTTTTTTTTAACGTTTTGTTTAATATTTTAAGTAGGTATTGAGAGTTTTCCTACAGTTTTTTTGGCACGGTTTTTTTTTGTGCCCGCATCATGCATGTACCTTAATATAATTACTATTAATTAGTTGATTAAATTCGAACAAACGTTGTATCAATAGTATTTCAATTTATATAAAATTAAATTGTTGTACACAATTTGAAAATATCTAATTATGCATTAATTAGTTTTGTTATTACCCTTATAGAAATGTTTATTGGGTATTTGCCATAGTACCTTAACTAGATGCTCAAATTTAACGGGTTCATATTATAAAACAACGCGTTAAATAATATACAGAGATACTAATTAATTATGATTCATGGATTTAGTTACAATAACAATTAAACCACAGACTATAATTTGAAAACAGATAGCTCATTCGGCATGTAAAAAAAAAACCAAGATGTCACATGACCAAAATGAAATCAGTCTGACCACAGATCGAGTATAAAATTTCGTGTAATATGTTTCATTATAATATAGTAGGTAGTTATCATTTAAACTTTATGGTTGATAAGAAATTTGTACAATAATATTGTAAAATAACTTCACAATAATTGATATTAATTCATACGGCTACACTTTTGTGCAGCCCTAATCAGTCTTTTTAAAAATTTCCTTTGATCTCGGCCGAGTGAGCTATCTGTTTTCATATAGTCTGTGATTAAACTTTAAAATTATACACAAGTATGTATATTTTTATTTATTTATTGAGCCTAAAAAAATGTCAGGGATGCCTTTCAAAAACAGACAACAATTTTAAATTCGATGTATTTGACTGCTATTACAATACAATATTTTTCTTTTGTTTATGCGCACTATATATTTATTTTCTTTAAAACCAAAATTACCTATCTCTAAAAAAATTAAGTTTTGAGTGATTTATGACTTGTCAGGTAATAAACAAAAAATCGAACAATAATAATTGATAATGATATTTTTGTGGTAATATTAATTTGACACCTACCTATTACTATTTTTTTAAATACCCGAAAATTATTGTCGTCGACTACCCTAATAACTTGATTTAACACTGAAATTATTCACATAGGCCATTGAATTCAATATTATATTGTAGGTAGTTGTGTATAGTTTTGTCTTACTATACCTATAATAGCACTATGCATTGTGTTTACATTAAGGCTTAAATACGTAT